AGAACTTAAAAAAATATTGAATTTCATTTGGACATCATTTGAATTAAATTCAAACTTGGATAACTAAGCAAATGGCTTAAGTAAAAATTTAAGTAAGAGAAATTTGAACTTGCACATCGAACTATACATGAATTCTACAAGACAGCAGGGGACTACTTGAACTCGAATGAGTAGAACAATGGACTTGATCGAACTCAAAGATCAATTTGGGACATATGGACTTGATTCAATTGATTTCTAATAAATTCAAATCTAAGTGAATATAAACTTGAAAGACAACAAAAGCTTGGACTTGAAACAAGTGAGCTCAACTCGAACTTGGATTTGAACTAAAGTGCAAAGGATTTTGAATTGACTTGAACAACATGAACTATAAAGAAATTCGATGGAACACACAAGAATTGGGCTTTGGATGAATTAGCAAATCAAAGTCTAAATGCATCATATTCATCGAGGTGAACATCAAGTACTCAATTACCATGATGACTTCCATCAATTAGCCATATATAGTCTAGTTGCAAATGGAGGCATAACGATATTTCAATGAACCTTACAACACATGTGCAAGATGAGTCATTCACAATTGAAGATGAAAACCAAGTAATTATCAACAAGAAGAAAGGATAACTTGTGGATGAGAACTAGAATTTAAGCCTGCTACTTGAACTCAGGCAAGAATCAAGTGAACCAATGCAAAAGATATCTTGAACATGAACTAAACAGCATCATGTGGAGTTTGGAATATTTGAACAAACAACTCTTTTATAACATGCACATGACAATCGTCTCAAGTCAAATACAAAAAATATTATGAAAGGGCATGGCTTGATTGCAAGGTCACTACATGAGGGCCCTAGAAACATGATAATTGATTTGTAAACATGATTCATCCCCAAGCAACAATCAATAGGAATCATCACCTCAATTGAATGATTATCGTATAAAAGCTCCAATGGATGTTGTCGTTGACCCATGAAAGTTACTCCAACAAAACAATAATGAGCTTGACAGAAGCTTGTAGTGTCTTGAGGATACATGCAACAATTGCTAGAAGGATTGAAAGATGTTCAAGCAAATACACCAATTGCAGCAAACATACGCATATGCAACGATGACAATCAACGACGAAATCTTTTACTAACAAATAAATGAACTCGAGGGATATGCAATGAACACAATGATATCACACCAATCAATACTTGTGGACTTGCATATATATGTAGCCACCAATAGCAAGTGGATAAAACAACCTACCAATCAATGTGCATGAAGAGGTTGATGGCAAATGCGAACTCCAACGAATCACCAGAGGAGACTTGTTACATACATAAAATTCCATCTACGAGCAAATACAAAAAGAGAACTGCAACAGATATGAGCTCCTACAGGCTACTATAGAAGACTTCTATACATTCAATGTACCACTCACAAGCAAAATATAAATATTTTAAAATACCCCTACACGTGCACCGTTAGCTTCTATACACATAGGTACACCAAAAGGGGTAAAAGCAATTATAAAACCCGCATGGGCCTCGGCGAGCGTGTTATTGGTACACACGTGACGTCTAGGGATGCTGCGCGGGTTGACAAGTGAATTCAAGTCTGAAACCGATCCTTCTATACGGGTCAATAGAAGTCGACAGGGTTCGAACCAATAAACAAATATACGGTTGTGGCGATCGTTATATTTGTCTTAATACATTCATATTAGGCCTTCAAGGCCTATAACAATGAGAATTCACTATCAAGGGCATAAAGCCTACGAAATCCGATCATCTATCGACAGTCACACAGAGTTGACAAGGTTCAAGCTACAAATGAAAAAGCCCCCCAAACACCCCGATGATGACCGCGTTGATTGAAGATCTCAACCGGAAGGGTTAATTTCAGGCATCTCCAAATGCCTCCTAAAAGTCCACACAAAATCCAAACTCCGCAAATCCCAAATTCCAAGATATTTAAAATTGAAATAAATCCATCAACACTTAAAACAAAATCCATCCACCCTCCGCAACAGTTTGTCGAGGTGGACAAATTAAAATTTACTTCAGTTCACAAAAGAGCTAAATGTCTAGTCGAAAATATCAATATGATCCATTCTCAAACAATCTCCTGCCACTAAGGACGTGTTGTGTGTTTTGCCGCCAAATGGCACCGCATGATAAATGGTTATGACCCAGGGCCCTCTGAACCGAGTGGTTTTGCCGCCAAATGGCACCACGAAATACCGATTATGGCCAGCGCGGTTATGTTCCTTATTGACATCAAATCCTTGAGATATGAATCAATAGGATATGGTCGATAGGGCACAAAGCCCTATGTTAGCTAAGGTGGATTCAAATTTGTCCCCTTAGGCAAATACCCACCCCAGGTCTACAAGGAGGTCCCCTTGGACGAAGCAACCCATGGCTGCCGACAAGGATCCTTCTGTCAGGTTGGGTCGACTACCTCCTCTGACTAAGTAGACCAGGGACCACGATGGCCCGGTACGACGGAACCATGGGATCTTGATCGGGTCTATCATCCATTCCCCCACCATCCGCTTTAAGTGCTAGGTGGTGAAATTTCTTATTTTAAATATCAAACCCTTTCAAAAAAATTTCAAATCCAAACCTATGCTGCTACTATATGCCAGATACTATATGCCAGATAACGCGTATCTCTACATATCTGATTGACGACTAGCCTTAATCGAAAGTTCTCTCTCGTTATCGAGAGGGGTAATTAACTATAGGGCTTGCACCTATAGGAAACCAGAACTCAGATCATAAAGTCCTCACAAAATGAGGGCGAAATCTCTGGGTGGTGTCTTATCTACAAACCCATCTGCCTTCCAAAATTTACCTCGGAATTTATCAGTTAAAACTCCCTCACCGAATAAAAAGAAAAGCGGGCGGAGGCCGGGGCCGAATTTTTGGAGTCCACACTCCAAAGCTGGAGTGCCCACACGAGTATAAAATTCTTTGGTACTGACGGAAATACCGCCAAAACTCATTGAGTTTTTCACTAAAATATGAAATCGAGTGTCCGCATTAGCTCAACACTGACTCATTGAGTTTTTCACTAAAATATGCAATTGAGTGTCCACATTAGCTCAGCACTACCCCAATGCCAGCAATAGAAGCATTGTAATCTACTAAGATTGGAGTCGAGGTCATAAGGAGCTTCAGTTACTCGAAACTATCTTGAGCTTGTTTGGTCAAAACAAATGGAGAGCTTTTTAGAAGTTCAATTAGGTGTTACAATGAAGCTGCAATACTTGATGAAGTGATGAGTCAACCAGGGTTGACCTAAATAAAATTAAAAAAAATGATAATAAAAAGAAGCCAACTAGTGGAAAATCCTCACTTCGATCAACGATTGGGGTGTCAGTCATTCCATAATGGCCTATGTTTTTTGTCGGATCTATCCCCATGCCTACAACGTAGACTACAAAGCCGAAAAAAAATTTTGGTTACCAAATACCCATATTGATGGAATTGGCAAACAGTCGGCACTCTCAAAGAATTTCAAAGACTTGTCATATGTGTTGGACATGTTCTTCCATAGCTCGACTAAACACAATAATGTGTCAAAGTAGATGACTTCAAATTGAGCGAATATATCATATTCATCAAGCTCATGAAGGTGCTAGCACATTGGAAAACCCAAAAGGCATAATGGTCCATTTAAGCAATTTGACATGCATTTTGAAATTTGTTTTACACTCATCTCCTAGACGCATTTGGATTTGATGGTATCGACTCATCTCCTAGGTGCATTTTGGAGAAATAAGCAGTGGCCCCATGTAGCTGATTGAATAGATCATCAAATCATGGAATTGCAAATTAATATTTAATGATATTTTATTCACGATGCAACAATCAAAACACATTTGACAAACTCCATCCTTCTTCAAAATGAAGAGGATTCGTGCGATCCTGGGCTGGCACAAGGATCCACTAAACTAGTAGCAATCAACTTGTCCACTAAGGGCTTAAGTTCCTCGTATTCTTTGAGCAACATACAATAAGTAGGATGATGAGGTATGACAACCTAGAATGAAATCAATAGTGTTTTGTACTTCTTGCATAAAAGGGAGTCTAGCTGGAATTGACTAGGTAAAGACGTCGGAGAACTACTGCAGCAAAGACTAGATATTTTCATGTGGTGGTGGTTGTTTTGCGATTTCCTCCACCATAACTAAGGTTAAACCATGATCACTTTGCCTAAGAACCTACGCGAACAAAAACTAAGATAAAACTAACTTGCTATCGTTTTCAATGGAAGCAGTCTGCTTCAACGGCAACAGCACAATAGAGCTTGCAACTGATATTCCAATTGAGCGAGCAACAAAACAATATCATACCATCATTTAACACAATAGCACACAGACAAGTTTATGCATAGGGGAATGAAGAGATTTGATAATCACAGTTTTACATGGCACTTGACGTAGATGGAAAATTTAAAATTCTTCAAAGCAAATTGCATTATGTTTTGATGTCCTATCTAATTACACGACAAGATTGGGAAAAGATGGCAGGAGTAAATAAAACTTGCGGAGGTATGTACCTGGGGGTGAACCCTAAGGCGCTCCCTGCAAACCATAAACCAAGCTGGCCTGGACCCAGACAGAAATAAACCTTGATAACCAGCTATATTCTTAAAAACTGTGATTTTAGGTTGTATAACCATGTTTGATGGTTCCTCTCGTGCGGTGAAGTCTGTTGGCACGCGGATAAATCTCAAATTCCTAAACCTTGATGCGCTTATGCTACTTGGATCAACAGAATTATTTGGTGACACGACTTCCTCATTTTTAGAATAACTATCAAGACCCTCATATAAGTACGCCTGATAGCAAAGCATCGTCCCATCATTTAAAACAGCAAAAAGAAATGGTCGGCAGTATGGACCAGACCACCTTTGCATGACCAATTCAACAACCTTCATTTTTTCAGTAGTTTCCTTCCTTCCTAAGTCGGTAGACTCCTTATTAGTTTTACTCTTGATTTTCTGGTACGGTTTGAAAGGTTCTCTAACAGATCTGTCAACAAGATGTGACTTACCAGAAACAAACTTATCACAAGAAAAAACACATTTGAAATTAGGCACGTCATATATATCAAGGGTGCCACTTTCATAACAAAGTAAACAATATATGTCCCCCTGTTCATGATATGATCCATCATTCCCATCAATTGTCTCAGCAATTCCACTGGAAAGCCATGCATCAGTACTTGCTCTGCGAAGCCATGAATCTGGTCCTTTGTCAATATAAAGTGTGCATGCAGAGACTGAATCAGTTGAGTTAGCTAGTATCGATGGTACATAGATAGATACAGTGCAAGTCGAAAGATCTGCAGAGAAACAAACAGTAAAAATAAAGCAACAAAAGTACAGTTTTGAAGACATCTCCCATAAAACTAAAACTGAAATAATGCGCATCTCAAGAATATATTATGTTAAAAAGCTGCTTTTGACAAGTGGTAAAATGGGGGTTACACGTACCTCCAATAAGTAGCTGAATACTCCCATCAACCATCTTGAGCAATACATATGGATCTGCAATTGACGCAGAAGAAACTGTACAAGAGTCTGGACTGGAATTATGATCGGAATTATGCACACCAAAGGGCAACTCCTGGGTCATGTAAGAACCATCGAGAATGCGAGCACCTCTTGCAAAAATTTGAACAACTCGACGCCTGCAAAATTTTGCAATGAATGTCATGAAAAAAAATGCATGTTGTTTAAGTATGAGTAGACTGAGACGGTTTCATAGTATCAAGAGACAAAGTTTCATCAATAAACAAAAGATGAGAGCAGTATCTATAGACACTAGAGTAATCCATCATTTGAAGGTCAGTATAAATAGCCAGAAAGGACATACTCTGTACAGGATTGTCATATCAAATATGCCCGACCACAACATCCATTTTGTTTCAAATAAAATTAAGAAAAAGGAAAACAAGGAAGCACAAAGAAACATGTAAAGCTTACAAACATGTTCTGTTTCATAAGATCCTTGGCATCACTGCAGAACAGTCTAATAATAGCACAACGCTGCTTGGATTAAAATTCTGAAATTGCCAATATTGACAATTGAAGCTGTGGTTATTCAATCCAAAGCACCGCTGCATCTATTTCCATTATGTTGTCCACTCGACAAGATACATTTGAGTCCAATTGATGCATACATTTTCAATCTTTGTTCCGTAACCACAAAGATTTTCTCCATCACTTCCAACTCAAAATTCAGTTGCCCAAGAAAATCTGTGCATGCACATATGAAAAAATAAAAATAGACACAAAAACAAGTTGCATGATCCATCATCTCTGTTCAAAATTGGAACAAGCACACTCACAAAACTATATCTTAGTATCACACAATTATTTTAGTATAGACTAGAAAGAAACCAAAGCGGATATTAAATTGGCATGCCATTATTCCGGTTGGTTGAAGTGGATGGAGTGGAGAGATCCGTGTACAAAAAAAAATATGCCTATCCTAAAAGATACTAACACCTAAAGGCAGTCCTCAAATCAAGATCAAGATTACAAATCCATTTCAATTGCAAAAAGATTTGCAATAAATGATTTCATGCAGTTCTGATCATTTGACTTTACATTGGTGCGTCTAAGTCTTCACGATAACTGGTTCTCATGAAAAGTGGTTTGAACTTAAAAAAATTAAAATAAGGTTTCGATGAGGATTGTTGAGACCTACAATCTTTCATGTGTAAACAAACCACTATGAAAATGCCAAAACAACTCTAAAATCTCCCCTTTAAAAATGCCTTACCAATGATTAGTTACCTCTTCAAAAGTTGGCCTTAATTTTCACTTTGGGATCTAATTGGAGGAAAAAAATTGATAAAAAAGGTAGAAACCTACGGGCACACAAATACACATACATATATGGGTAATAATGCATCACGGTAATGTTAAGGTATGTTTAGTTGCTCGAAAAAGGAATACAATGTAAAAGGAATACTTTAGAGTTGTTTAGATGAGTGTTAAAGGAATTCATGAGATCAATTTTTTTGTTTGATTTGAAATAAAAAGAATGCAATGTAAAGTGCAAATGATAGTGGCCAGTGGCCAACATTGATAGTGGTGTGGCTGACGACAATCGGCCGGTAGCTATAGCGGTCGATAATGGGAGGCCGGCAGTGATGACCGGCAAAGGACGGTCAGCGGTGATGGCTAGAAGCAATGGTGATCGGAAGCGGCATACCGGCTATGATGGTGGCCGGAAGCGGCAGGCGGCAGGGGTGGTTGGCAGAGGGCAGCGGCGGTGGCCTGCTATGGTGGTGGTGGTCAACGGAAGTCGACGATGGCCAATGGCTGGTGGCAGTGGTAGTCAGTAGATGTCAGATGCAAGCAACGGCAATTGTAATTAATTTCTAATATATTTGGAACTCTCTCAAATCAGAGGAATTCCAAATACACCAAAAAATGAACTAGATGTGAATTCCAAATACACAAAAAATTTACACTGCATTTGTTTTGCTTCAAACCAAATACCAATATTTTCAACACCCTTGCATTTGGAATACTTTATACTCCCTTTGCAGGCAACCAAATAGCCCCTTAGTTGAAACAACTATCTTTAACAGTAATCAAACCAATTGAGCACAGCACATTTTTTATAGGTATAATAAATGATAATATGCCAGTGAAAAATAATGTACTAGGAAAACTAAAAAGACATTTTATTGTAAAACCTACCCAAACAACTTTATTGCAAGCCATGGAGTTCTCTAGAAAACAAAAATAACAATGTTACAAGTTGGTGTTAGAAATATTTTGAGGGAAGTACCTTCCAAATAAGTTGCCTGCGGCTATTGTAGTCCCCTGAACATAATAGTCGACCCTTTCTGTAACCTCTCCTAAATCATCAGCTGTCTCAAGAACCTAAATTTTATTCAAAAGATGTAACAATCAGTATTATCCATTGTATCGCTTTGACATTTGCAACCACAACCTGAAAAGAGAATGTTTATCATCTCACAATCATGTAAGTGCCTCATGCTTAACTTTATTTCTGAATCAATGATATACCAATGCAAAAAAATGAATAAAAAAGCACCACACAACTAAAGGTTTGTTTGGAAAAGGTTTTTACTACTTTTGTGGTAAGAAAAACTGTTGGTAAAAATTAATGTGTATTTGCCGCTAATTCAAATTTTTTACTTTGAAAAGCTGAGATTGGAAAAGCATTTCAAAAATTGTGGCTAAAAAAAGAGCTTTTAAAAAAATGGAAAACTAAGGCTTCATTTGGGACGGCTTTTTTAGTACTTCAAACTATTTTTTATTACAAAAAAAAAAATTAAAACTAAAAAATTTTTATATTAAAAAGTTGTTTTACAAAGCAATAAGAAAGAAGTTCCAAATAAAACCTAAAACTGTTCCAAAAAAACCTAAGAAGTATAATGTATGGCAAAAAATAAAAGGGTTAAAAAATCAACAGGCAACAAAGAAATTGTTCCAAAACTCTTACACACATCCAATTACGGATCCAAAGCTTACTGGACACGCAAGCCAATAGTTAGCCTATAAGCCTATGCATAACTAAGGCTTCGTTTGGGGCGGCTTTCTTATTGCTTCTTAAAGCTGCTTTCTAGTAGAAAAATTTTAATTTTTGTACTAAAAAGATGCTTTAAGAAGTAGTAAGAAAGCCGAAGCCTAAGTGGCACATGACTACTTCCTACTCATCAAAACATTTTTTGTACACTTTGAGGTAGATATTGAGAGCGACACTAACAGAGGGCACTTGATAGCCGACCTAAAGAGTATTTTTTCCATGGCTGGTAGATAGGCATCTTGAGCCAGTCATCAATTATAACCTTAAGCTCAAGAGAGCATACCTCGACCTGGGAATAACCCTTCACTTGAATATCAAGCCTACTTCGAGTGAGTAAACGAGCACCTTATTAGCAATATTGACTGGCTTGAGCGCCAGGCTTAAATATCTCAAGTGAAAATCGAACAATAACCTTGATACACTCACCATTTACGTAGATCTTAAGCCTTATTACATAAGAAGATAAACACATTTCTATTCCCTCATTTAAGTGTTTACTTGAACAGCACATATCGTGATTCACACTTACATTCACTACTTCCTATCAAAGGGTCAGCAGTAGACTTTCTTTGAAGAGGAGATTAGAATTCATTTAGTATAAACATTTATCTCCAAATGATATTTTGATACAACAATTAGATTATAATGATAAGTTCACTCCAGTGAGGTGAGAACCTCAACAACAACCTAAATCTGAACATCAATTCATAGCCACTGATCAAAGTTTAGCATGAATCACACAATGGTCCATTTGATCCTTTCTTAGGGGAAAAGTAGGACACAAAGCTTAGCTTCCTATGGGTAGAGCATGATTAAGAGAACAAACCTATGACAGCAAATCATTAACCCATCTCATATCTTCTAGTAGGGCGTATTTCCTTAAATTAATTCCCATTTATGCTGAATTTGAATTAGCTTAATGAAACTTGGTCCTTATCCCTTAGCATAGTTCCCTACATGTTAAGCTCTCCCTATTTAGTAAAGTCTAGTATAGACAACCAAAACCAGAACTCCCATAGGTTCAACTCGAGCTCCATCTCCATTCCTATGGAGTTGAACTACCTTTGAGTCTCTAAGGCAAGTCTAACCCAATTCTAGAAGTCAGACAGGTCTAATTATCATAAATTCATGTAATTGTAGATGCCAGATTATCTAAAACCTATCTCCCTAGAGAGTTTTAGTTATCTAAAACTTGTCTCAAAGGAAATGTCATGTTCTTTAAAACACATCCAACTTGAGAGGTTCCATTATCTAAAAAATATCTCATTGGAGAAGTCGATTCATCTAAACCTCTATTTGTAATGGTAATTCTCTCCCTACACCTTGTAGCAGGAATATTCTAGGTTGCATGTTGGACCTTTATATTAACATTTTCAAACATTAGCAATCGGTTCAACTCCACCCATGAGCTAATTATGCTTTGTTCCCCCAGTCTTAGCACCAATCATTTGGTTAGTTTTGATTGGCTTTCTCAATCCAATTAAAATCATCAACCGGGAACTAATTTGTCCTCTTAATTTGGTCTCCTTAAAACAAAATTAGAGTTTCTCTTAATAGATATCTCACAACATATATAAGAAACTATCATATCTAGGTTTTCTCACAAATCAAGAAAAATCAATCCTTATCCTCTTATGACCACACATACGTAAGAAAGTCATCCTAGATTTTTACAACCCAAAAGTCAAACCACCATACATAACACCTTTGGCTTCTTATAACCCGCGTGAGATAAGTCAACACCTAACCACTTCATGATACATATGAAGAATTAGTTATGTTCATTAACATTTGCGTGAAGAATCATCTATTTGCATCATCTACTGGCACTTGTCACACTGCCAGAGTAAGATCATTCACCCATTATCTATTCAATATATTAAGAATTAGTTTGGTTCATCACCATCAATGTGAAAAATCATATATTATACTATCTCTCTCTTTTTTATTTTGCTTTTTTATCCTTTCATTATTTTTTGTCCAAAATTATTTAAAATATTAGGTGCAATTTCTCAGACTTCTCAATTTATTAAAGCAAATTGGCATGAGCAACAAACTATGTGAGGTTAGAAAAAAATCATGCAAGCTTTACGATGAGCCTAAACTCGTGTTGGACTTTTGATAGAAAGTGTGCATTATATTTTAATGTGACCTTATTTCAATCCTCACTCTTTTATTGGGAACACTTGCAATGAAATACATGCAAGATCTTATATTTTGAACATTTGTATGCTTCTGGCACACACCATATAGGTTCATCTATCACTAGTCAATGGTTCGTATGCTTGCACATGCATTGTGGTGCAACATTTTAGTAGTTTCTTGAATTAAAGCTTATCTAATTTTTTTTTACTCGCACTCGCATAATTAGGTGAGTCATATTTTTCATTTTAACAATCATTTTTTAGTTCATTGTGCACGGTGAAGGGACGAGGCATTCTTTTTTGTATTTGTTGGCAAGCTAATAAAGTCAATGTGAAAGCATTTTTATTATTATTTTGCACTTTTTATGTGATCCTTCAGGTTTTTTTAGATACTTTTCTTAACTTGTATTACAGTTTTTATTCATTTTCCCATTTTGTTGCTTTATTCTGCTTTGACATTATTTCTAGCTTTAGAACTTTGCGTGAATTTTGGTAGCATTTTTGCACCTCCTTCATGAGGGATAAGGAAAGTAGGTAACCTCGCAATGCAAACAAAGATGTTTAGTTTCAATGCAGACGTGTTGACCAATCTTTTAGCAGAATGAGGTTTCCTAATTTGAATTTGAATAGTTAGCTCATTAACACCTTACATGAGGTCAAAATAGTTCGTTCTCGCATGACCAGTGATCCTATAAGATCCAACCTAGCCTCAGCAAAGACTAGAAGATCACCACAACACTAATGTCCTTGAAGGGACAAACCTAACTCCCTTGACCGACCATAAATCCTTTAAGGAACTACATTAACTTTGTCAACCTATTCTCTCCTAGCCATAGGTCACTTAAACCACAATGGATCTTATCTCTATGGATCTAATGGGTCAACGATTACCAACCCATTGACCCAAATCAATTTTTCATCAACTTTAACTTTAGTCTACACTAAACCTTAGCGAGTTCACCTAAATAAATCATATCAACATAAGCAACCTACCAATGAACTTCCCTAGGATAGACCTCACCCTAGGTTGTAGATGGATCAATCGCAATTCAATTTATACAAGTTTGATAGAAATCAAACATAGTTAGATTGATCTTGAACCTATAAGGTGAACCTGTCAGAACAACCCTAACCACATCTTTAGGACATAGATTACACATATGGTGAACCAATTTGCACAAAAATCATGCTCCAATCAAGCAAACTTGCAACAGGCTATGTTGCACCAATACACCTATTTATGAAGGCGTGTTGTATCCGATACACCGATACACGAATACGCCTTCGATACGGCACCGATTAGTGTCGGATACGGCTTAGCCGTATCCAATTAAAATATTCTTAATTTCAAAAGGACACGCATATCTGATACACGTGTCCATTGAAAAACAAAAAAAAAATCTGAAAAAATGACCCGTCGTATTTACTTCCGCGGCTACGAGCGATGTTTTCTCATTTTCGAGATGGATTTGAGTCTCTTGATGATATAAGAATATTAGAAATTGTTAATATTTCACTTGATGAACATGAATTAAAAGCTATGATATTTATTGAAGATGATATAGAAGTTCAAAGACAAACCACTGAAGAAGCTAATCATATCATTCCTTCTATTTAATTATTAAAACTTCATGTGCTAAACAATTTATGTTTGTGCTTTTGTTGTTGTACTAGACATTTAATGCTTACTTTTATTTTGATATTATAAGCTATAAGGCTACAAATGATGTTACTTTCATTTTTTTGTAATTTCAAATATTATGCTTTGATTGCTTTCTTAATTTTTATGTATGATTTATAAATTATGATACCGTGTCCGCACCTACTCGTATCTTGTATATTTAAGAATTGACGTGTCTCGTATTCGTATCGTGTCGTATCTGTGTCGCCATATCGGTATCGGTGCAACATAGGTAACAGGGTTCTATTTTAGGCCCACATAATCCGATTGTAGCTCACTAATTTGAATGTAGCTTCTTGATTACTATAATAATATAGAAGTTTAAGGGTTATTAAACTTTTTGCTTGACCCTCGATAACTTTTGTATTTATCATTTTGATTGATCTCAACATCTCGAAAAACATTCATTATCAGTCTCTTTTAAGGGGCTCTATTGGATCAGGTTATAAGAAATTAAACCTCAAATGCATCACACCACCATCACTCATCCTATTAAATAAAAACAAAAGAACAAAGCAAACTTAAACCAATTTTTTTAACCTAAACTAACAACCAATGCCCAATTAACCTCAATATTACCCTTTGTTTGCTGACAGAAAAATATATATGTATAAGTTGAGAATGTTAATTAACAGGGCCATTAGGCATGAAACATGAGATTTAATTAATCAAACAAACGTGTTTTCATGGGAACCTCAGTTAGCAAAATTAAAATAAATCTTGCTAGATCCTCCATTGCATTGAAGAAAAAATTATGGGATAAATATCCAATCAACATTCAAAGATTCTCATGTGGGTGTATTCCACCTTGTGGGATAATGATTCTTTACCATTGTGCAACACTTTCAAAGCACACAACAAGGCGCTAAGCACAAAAAAAGCATCTCACCGTGCTAATAAGAGCTTAGGGGAATGTGCAAGTGCATTGCACGCAAAAGATTGTGAGGAAAAAGGCTACATTATAAGAAGTGTTAGATCTTTGTTAAGAATTGAAGGTAAGGGAGCCGATTTTGTGAGGAAGAAGTGATACTCTTAAGGGAAAGAAAGTAGTGGTTCAGGTAGAGGAATAGAAAAGGAGAGAGATTGGTGCTAAACCATCTTTAAGGAAAAAATACTCTTCGTGGGGAGCCATATGGCATTGTGTCTCCATGAGAGGAAAACGGGATTAGCATTTTGTAATATTATTTTTGGAAATCACAATTTTCTTCAAAGGGGTAGTGTAACTCCTTTGAAAAAGGATTCATGTAGCCAAGCCCACATAGTGGGATAAAGGCCTGATGTTGTTGTTGTTTGTTGTTGGGTAGTATAACTCCAATTTTCTAAAAAAGCTTGCAGCTCTATCAAAGGCATTGATCAACCCACTCCCCGAAGCATCGAAAGGCATTGAATAAAGGAGCCAAGAGAGTTGATGAAAGGCAAAGCATCAAAAGATTGGAGAGATGAAGCCCAATGGGGATGCCAAAAGGATGGCACTTGAGGGGAGTACCGTGTGCATGCGTGAGTGTACGTTCGTGAACATATATTTGTGTCTGGATGTATGTATGTGTGTGAATGTCTGTGCATGCATGCTTGTGCTTGCGTGTGTATGCTTGTGTCCATGCATGTGAAAGCGTGCGTGTGTGTGTGCGCATGGACGAGCCCATTAGTCAATACGCGGTATGCATGCATGTATGTGTGCCCAAGCGCATACAAATATGTGTGTATGTGATGCAGACATCCGATCATGAAGATTTTCAAAGGAGGAGACGACGATCGACGGCCGAGATCTTTCCACCTTATCTTAATTTGTTATTTTGTAATTTTTCTTTTTTATTATGAATTTTTCCTTTTTACCCTTACTTAAGAGGGTCGTCCTATGTAAGCCATAGGGGCATACGTGTCTTGTTTTAGTTTCTTAGGCCAATATATAGAGGCCCTTGCTTGTGTAATGTGAGGATGAATTATTAAGAAAAGAAATTTTGTTTGCACTTGTGCTCTTTGGAGAGAACTTAGATGAGATTCCTATGGGAGGGAAGAGGAGTTTCCATCAGCCGCAGGATGGGTCCGGGCTCGTGGCATGAAGTCCCTTGGAGAAGGGGAAGGTATTACCTGTCAGCTGCAGGATGTGTCTGGGCTCACGGTTGTATCTTTCTTTCCCTAAATCCTTTTCTCCTCCTCCCCTCTCTCCACCCCAAGCCGTCGGCCTAAGGCGTCACCAAATTCCTTACCGCCGTCCACCTAATCCTCTCACACCCACCAACCTCAACATACCACCACATCTCCAAATCAGCCCCTTAAAGTCCACCTAACCGCCAGCCCATCTCCAACACCCCTAGCCAAGCCGTCGGTTGCCATCCCCCTCCCTTGCCTCCAATTCTCCAATCTCCACTTGAATAATTTCCTTTCTTGTTTAACTTCTTTGGGAAAGTCATTTAACTTTAAATCAATTAATTCAAATTTGAAATTTGAAACCTTTCCTAAAATAGAATCATATTTTAGGAAAGTTTCTAAAATCAAATTTAAAATTAATTTGATTTGCATTGGACATTAAATCTCATCCTAATTAGTAAATCCCAATGAGGAAAGTGAATTCGGCCATCCCTCCAAAATCCCATGAATTTTAAATTTTAAATTTCAAATTTCAAACTCCTCTTAATTGCTTTCCTAAAATAGTTTCTTATTGATTAGGAAAGTTTCCTAATTAAATTCAAATCATTATTTGAATTTAAATACTTTCTTATTTGATGAATTAGTTTAGGAAATTTCTTTCCTTTGAATAAAATCTGAAATCAGATTTTAAATCTTATTTCCAATCAATAATTAAAGTCATGGGTCCACATACATTGAACCTAGACACCCTCTCTCTCCCATCTTTGGCCGGCCCCCTCCCCCTTCCCCATTTAATTAATTAGCTCATTAATATCACCCCAATCAAGCCCTTAATTCCTCTAAACAAATCCCCAATTAAACCCATTCATAGGCCGGCATACCCCCCCCCCTCGTTCTACATCAGTATGTGTGCAAGCGGCAAACTGCAAGCATGTGCATGAGCATATGTATAATGTTTTTAACTTCCTACATGAGTTCATCTACTTGCAAGTTTTTCTTCTTTTTATTTCTTCTTTTTTTCATTTCCTAGCGAATATCTCATCTTGATGTGGCCTCAAGTAAGGTAAAAAGCTTCGATGTGATTCAATACACATCATTCAACAATTATAGACCCTTTTGTGATTGCAGCTCAAATCGATTGAACCTAATTGTGGTTTGCTTTACTAACTAATTTGTGCAATAAACATTTAAATAATAGCATACGAATTCATTCCATCAAGAAAAGAGCAATTATAAAATAAGAGAATATGAGAAGAAAAGTATGTTCATTTGCGCCCATATCTGACATTCAAAATAAGGAAATGAAAAGGGGGAGAGGGAGATAGAGTAAGAACAGAGAGGGAGATAGAGAGAGTCCTAAATAGAAGCTTATACTCCTTTCCATTAACATCAATAGCCTTATCTAAACTTTTTGGGGCTGGCCTTGCAAATCCTCATTAACTTATTTTTGTCGAGTACAACATGACCTAATAACTCCATTGTGTGTAAATCATTTCCACAACTTCTATCCATGCGAAATCAAACTTAAATAGCAAATGACAAGATGAAAAATATCTAATCTATCATACTCTTATGTATATCATCACAGTATCCCACAAGTTATTAAATAAACAAAAATAGATAATTTGAAAGGCAGTCCATATTAATATCGGAAGAAGCACTTAAGAAGGAACCATTCACTTAACTGCATGCGCATTGAGCTCAAACCACCAACAAAATAAGACTTAACAGGCACCAACCATATGCAACATAACTGCTGATAGTACCATAAAATTAAAATAAAAAAATAAAACTGATATCTTCCTGAAAAAGAAGACATAAAATGGGTCATTTAAAAAGTGATATTACTGATAAATTCCAGTCAAATGCATGCTGCTTCATAAAACATCATTTTAGATTCAGCTCCTTTTTTGGAATGAATCTTAAAACCACGAATCATATACCCATTGATGAAGATCCCTATGACTTCAAGATTGAATGATTGCTACTTCAAGATCAGCAAATTTTTGTTAGATATGTTAATATTTTTATTCTTGCCTATTGATATCAGTATATTGTGTATTGTTACATCTTGTAATATCCTCTTGTATCTCTACGCCTTATCATTATTAATGAGAAGGGGTTGGTCCAAGTTTTTTATCAAAAAATTAAAAAATAGTGAATTCAATGCAGACACAGATGCTAGTTAAACAATAAAGAATACTAGATGGTCATAATCTCATTGTTTTACCAAATAGTAACTTGTTTGAAAGGTACCAGTCTTTGAAAGGGCAGCAAAACATCTAAAGCCAAATTGGTATTCATCATGTAGCAGGCAATAAGGTCAACCATAAGACTTATCATTCAATACTAGAAACTCAAGATGTAACTGTCTTAACACTTGAATTGTGTGAAACAGGGATCTTCCCTTCATAAAAAATAAATAAAATAAAATAAAATTTGAAAAAAAAAAATTAAAAAAAAGGATCTTCCCTTCATATACTTTCCTCCAATGCCTTTAGAATGACATTGTTTTAGCCTAAACCATGAAATAGTTTATAGATTTTACTTGTGAAGAGAAAAAAAGGAGGCATTAGACTGGTAAATCAAGTAAATGTAGTAACAATGCATCAGAAGAGGGAGAAGATATGGACATGAAAGGCCACAAACAATCAAAGAACTTCTATTCGAGTATTGAAAAACAAACTAGTGAATACCATGGTGCGACTCTCCAGACTTATAATCAAATATGCATGAAATTCATCATCTTCTTTTGATGGTTTAAGAGCGTCAACAGCATGACCTCGGGAGCTCTTATGATACACTGTCCAAATTCCTTTACATCCTGGCAACTCAACCTGTATTCAGTATAAAAAGATATAAAAAAGATGAATACAGAAAATGCTGAATCAGAATTCAAGATGCAGATGATAATAAATTACTTGAACAATATTATGAATTCTTCTGAGGAAAAATACATCAGGGAAGTTCAAGTATAAATGGATCAATTTGAATGGTTAACTAACAAAATACGTTACTAAACTATACTATTTCAGATAACCTTCACTAAATCAATATTAAATGCAACAGCTTGATCTCTTAGCAAAAGCAACAACCCCGTCTTCAATATTAGGAGTTCATTTTGGCGAATTGTAATTTAACAAGATTTTCCTTGATGTTCAATTAAAAGTTTATATAAATCAAATTTCCTATGAGTGCAAGTTCCCATAGTTGATTGCCCCTCCAGCTCACAAGATAACACTCTTGATTACGGATGGTAACAAAGGCTCAATTTACGCTTCACCTTTGACTTTCAAATAATTGGGGAATTGTTGGAGGAATGGAGAAATACTCAATCAAGATCTCACGATTATATCGTCCTAACAATGCATTAGAGAATCTTAAGCCAAAACACATAATTTGATTAGCAAATTGTGAGTGGCCTCCACACAAGTATCACCGAGGGAACTGTTCAATTTATTTTAGTTAATTAGTGGGCATACTATCATAGAAGCTAGCTCAAGTATGTGTTTAGGTCTAAGGCTTCCATTCATTAGAAAGCCTAATTTAATTAACTAGGCTTATTGTTCTATCAACGAGTTTCCCAAAAGGTTTGGCGTATAATCTTAGCTTTCTATATACGCCACCCCCCCCACCCTTAGGGTCCAAATTTCCTTTGAGTGCAAGTTCCCATAGTTGATTGCCCCTCCAGCTCACATGATAACACTCGTAATTACAGATGGTAACAAAGGCTCAATTTACGCTTCAACTTTGGCTTTCAAATAATGAGGGAATTGCTGGAGGAATGGAGAAATACTCAATCAAAATCTCATGATTATATTGTCCTGACAATACACTAGAGAATCTTAAGCCAAAGCACAGAATTTGATTAGCAATATTGTGAGTGGCCTCCACACAAGTATCATCGAGGTGACTCTTCGATTTATTTTAGTTAATTAGTGGGCGTACTATCATTTTTTAGTGGGCGTACTATCATAGAAGCTAGCTCAAGTATGGGTTAGGTTTAAGGTTTCCATTCATTAGAAAGCCTAATTTAATTAATTAGGCTTATTGCTCTATCATCGAGTTGCCCAAAAGGTTGGGCTTTATAATCTTAGCTTTCTATATACCCAAATATGAGACTTGTAAGTTGAATATTAGCATGGCCGGATTTAGGGAGGGCACGTGCTAATATGAGACTTGTAAGTTGAATATTAGTATCACCGAGGTAACTGTTCAATTTATTTTAGTTAATTAGTGGGCATACTATCATAGAAGCTAGCTCAAGTATGGGTTTAGGTCTAAGGCTTCCATTCATTAGAAAGCCTAATTTAATTAACTAGGCTTATTGTTCTATCATCGAGTTTCCCAAAAGGTTGGGTGTATAATCATAGCTTTCTATATACCCCCCCCCCCCCCCCACCCCCCGACACCCTTAGGGTCCAAATTTCTTTTGAGTGCAAGTTTCCATAGTTGATTGCCCCTCCAGCTCACATGATAACACTCGTAATTACGGATGGTAACAAAGGCTCAATTTACGCTTCAACTTTGGCTTTCAAATAATGGGGGAATTGCTGGAGGAATGGAGAAATACTCAATCAAAATCTCATGATTATATTGTCCTGGCAATACATTAGAGAATTTGATTAGCAATATTGTGAGTGGCCTCCACACAAGTATCATCAAGGTGACTGTTCGATTTATTTTATTTAATTAGTGGGCGTACTATCATTCTTTTTAGTGGGCGTACTATCATAGAAGCTAGCTCAAGTATGGGTTAGGTTTAAGGTTTCCATTCATTAGAAAGCCTAATTTAATTAATTAGGCTTATTGCTCTATCATCGAGTTGCCCAAAAGGTTGGGCTTATAATCTTAGCTTTCTATATACCCAAATATGAGACTTGTAAGTTGAATATTAACATGGCCGGATTTATGGGGGCACGTGCCCCCCCCCACCCAAGATAAAATTCATTTTATTTATTTTCCCCTATTTTCCACATACATAAAGCTGCCTTTTTTTTCTTTTTTCTTTAGCCGGTATGTGCCCCGCTGCTCCTTGGCGCTCTCTCTCTTTCTCTCTCGCTCTATTGATGAGAGGTGACACTATTTTAAATATTTTTTACTTATTTTCCACTTTATTTCTTTCTAATTGTGAAGTCCACTATTAATTTTTAAAGAATTTTATTAGACCATCTTAAAACTATTTTTTACTATGTTACTTTTCTCTCTCCATCTTTGCATTACTAGTAATTTTTTAAAATTAAAAATTTCATCAAATTTTTTTATTATTTTGAAAACTCCGAATTCTAGTTTATAGGAGATTTATGTAATTAAAACCAACAAATTACATTAGAGGAGAATTATAATATTTAAAGTTAAATCAAGTAGCTTAAAATATGATGAGTATGATAATATATAGTCTAAATAAATTTGTGTTGAAATTAATTTAGATGACCATAAAAACAAGTTTTTTTTTTCATTATCATAAAATTTATCTTCTTATAATTAACAACTATAATAAAAAAATTTAAAATCATAATGTCAATTTCAAGCTCAAATGAATAAGCTAGAGTGTATTTTTAAAATCAGAAATATGTGCCCCCGCAGATAAAAAATCCTGGTTCTGCCACTAGATATTAGAATCAGTCCAAAACATGTACATTATAATCTTGTCCTAAAAGAAAGGCGGCCTAAATGTTCATTTTTTATGGGCATAATAGCTTCATGTCAAGCCAATGAAATAAGTGGACATAACTAACATAATGAAGTAGAAAAAAATGAATTGTGCTTAGATTATCATTATATTTATATTTTTTTAGTTTTTTTATCATCTTCAATTTAATTATCAAAGGCAATGTAATCATTTCTCATATGTTTAGACTAAATTTAATTATTGATCTTGTGTTGTAAGATCAACTAATATAAATAAAGCTTCAAGGGGTGGTGCAAAAATAGGCCATGATTGATGAATAAATTCAATTGTTCTTTTCCCATTAATCTAAATCATGCACACAAATAGCTCGAATTTGTGTACATGGAATTTATATTCCTCTCTTTCTATTTAAATTCTTCAAGATTTCAATCTCAATTGCTAGAAAGAAACACAACCAAAAAGTTTGTAAAAATTTCAGTAGGCTTTCTATGAATGTCATCCCCAAGAAATCATACAACCAAAAACAACATTCTTGAAGTAGCAACATGTTACGTGACCCTTTGAAAAGAGTTTGGTTGAGCAAAGCGAATTTCAACAAGTCGGTAAGAGTATAGAGAGAATTTTATCAATGATCATGCATGTATATTATTAATCAAGGTAAGCAAGTGCAAAAGTTGAAGGTGGCTATCAATTATAATCAGGTGAACTTCAAAAGAAAATAAAATTTTCTTTTGAAGTGCTGATTGTAGCTTGGTTATCACAGAGATCTAAGGTTTTTCTGTTCTCAAGAAGTCACATAATAATGATGATATAATAAATCTTACTATAGGGATAAAATAATGGAATAGTAAATATGTTACTGAACTTAAAAGACAACATGCAAAAAATTAGTGTAGTTGTAAGATGGGCGTTATTCAAGCAAAATAAATAATATGAATATTTCCTTAGTCATTAGAGCATATGATTACCTCCTATAACCATCAAGTAATATATAATTTTTTGCATATCAAAATCAAGTATTTCAATTTTGATTTAGGTTTTGACTCAAGTTGAAAATGATTGATTTCAAGTTGGCTTTCAATTTGATTATATATATATATAAACACACACTAGAACGTACACATAAGGAGAGGGGGTGTATACATTTACCAAACTTATTTCAAATTAGCCATCCTCAAGTCTAAGCAAGTTTATTTTAATTTGGTAATCAATTCAAATTCAAGTGATTCTCAAATAGAGTTTTGACTTTTTGTAATCATTATAAGCACTAATTGATATGATTGACCTTGTCGAGCTCATATCAAGTAAAATTTAAAAAGACAAATTGGTGGTTGAGTATTAATCACACGACTTAAGTCACCTACAGAGCATACCAATGTTTTTGTAGGATAGCCTCAAATTATTAAAGAAAAAAATTCCTGTTCTTTTTCTCGGGACTAGGTGTAATACATAGGAAAATAAAAAAGATAAGGCAATGCAACACATAAATATATATAAAAAAATCTATACGGGTTTTAATTATAATCCATTAATATCGACTGGAATAACCACCAATACATAAGCATCTAAGAAAACTTAGATATGCACAAAATCTAAAAATAACATAACAACATAGACAATTTCAAGATTTATTTCAAATGAAAAGACCTAACTCTGTAAGATCTTGTAAAATAATAGAAAATCAACCTTTTAGCACCATGGATTAAAAAATTCTTAAAAGATGATAAACATAATGGTCAAATAAGTTTCCATTTTTCTCAATCATGGAAAATATATAGAATATAAATAATCTTTAAAATATGCAACAAAAGGGTAGTAAGTTAATCACCTCAGTTATCAAGTCAGGTCGAACCGAATGTTGCATTACACAAATAGCCCCATTTTTTCCATGACCAGAAGCACATACCTTAAGAATAAACATAAAAAACCAATCAATCTTCCTAAGAAACGTGAGATTCATCATCTTGATTTCATGGACCTTTAGAATGAGCATAGAAAAATAATGCACAATGAAGAAAAAGAGGAAAAAAAACTAGTTTATGACACCAAAATAAATAAATAAAGTGACTAGCAATCATATGCAAAAAAGTAAACATGTAAAGTGTACAGACCAGATCCTTAAAAATGTTTACGATGACTACCCCTATAGTATCTATAGTCACTAGCAAGCCTTAGGCCAACCTTCTCTATGTCGAATAGACTAGCATCGTAGATCGTACAATTCAAAAGTTGTGTGGCCCAAGAACAATCCCTTAGGACTAGGTTTCTTAGATGGACAATGGGCTAGCCGAACTAGACAAGGTCAACATAATTCTAAGCAACTAGCTCAACCTAATATCTGACTCAACATAATGACTAACTCAGTTAGATGGCCAACCATATTCAGGTGGATGGATATAGATTACCTCATAAAATCAATAGGATCGTTGTTCAGTCATTCCATACTCTAACATGTTAAACTACATAGATAAAAAATTATGAGGAAACTACACTGTGTAGGTAAAGAGCAATACAGAACATAGACAAAAAGGAAGCCATAAGGTTTAGTAATATGTAGAGTTAAAGCTATCACTCATAAGTCATTGCCTACCCTAGCCAACATTTATCTTCTTATCAACAATTACTCCATAAATAAGGCCCGAATGATTCAAAGAAGGGCCAATGTAACTAAGAAGATGGACAAGGACTCTACTTTTATAAAGATTAATGACCTAGGCAAACTAGAGAGCCTACAACAACCCTTCATGCATACACCTAAGCTAGGAAACCTATGACCATTAGCTATTAAGTTATTATACGATGTTTTTTATGTGTTTTTAGTTAAAAATTATTTTTGAATGACATGAACATTTTTGGTAAACATTAGATCTCTTACAATGTACACGTCATGAACATGAGCTTTTACTTGTTCATCATAAGTTGTATTCCTAAGATGAAAGGATCATGAAGAATAATATGATAGGATATGTATGTATGAGGTGTTTAGCTTATGAAAGATTGAGATAAACTACACTGTAGAGAGTGGATGGGTCTAAGTGAAAATAATCATTAAATACAATTGTCAATACTATAATAGTATATAGTATGTACTCTTTAACAAGGAGGCAAATAGGCACCAAGGCTCAATCTAATGACTATGACTAAACATGATGCTCATGGTACTCAAATAATGACATGAAGACGTAAATCATTTAAGCATCTATTTTATGTTTACCAAAGTCCAGCACTATGAATTTTTTGTAAATTTCTATATCATGTTGAACTTATTGCCTTGAAACTTATTGTTAATGCTTCATAGTTTTCCACTGACATTTATCTCATAGTTGTTATATCACCATATGATGAGTTAAAAGTTAAAACAATGCAAGATGGGTGACAATAGAGGTGGGACAATTGCACGGGTCTAATAGACATAGACAGTCACCAGTCACAAGTCTTATTGTAGTTGATTATGCCTATAGGGACTAGTAAACTATAGTATACAATAAACACTTTGTGCTTCCCTTCAACGAAAGAGTTAATCTTACGTTTCAAGTCTCCATGAAAATTTTATGGACGCCTCTAATTACTGCCAATGTTAGCATCAACCTTTAGGATTCCATCTCTAAATGACATACTTTGAGTCATATGCCCTTAGTTGGCATTCAGAAAAAGGTCGAACCATGTGGACAAGTTGCCAAACTCGTTGTTCTACCAACACAACTTTGTTGGCGAGTTTTGAGTCAACTGGGAACTTATTTTATGGCAAATTATTGACCGAACTATATGAGTCGAGCAACCAAAATCAAAAAGTTCTTCGGGACCGTGCAATAAATTGTGATTAAAGCAAAGGCATTAAGTCATCAAACAATTGTCTAGTTATAGAGCTTGGTACAGTACGTCACTAGGCATGCACTAAGAAGTCATAACCATAGGTTAAGTATGAACATGATGTCATTGTATATGGCACACCAAGGATCAAGTGTTTATGAGGAAGGGAACAACGTATCGAGTATCGACAAAAATCAAAGTCATCACTAGAGCCTCCAACTCCTCATTGACTATCAAGGACAAAACATGGTAAAAAGAACAAATGCCCCTACCAATAGTCGTTGATCTATTCAACTAGCTACAAGGCAACAAGGTGTTTTCCAAATAAAAGATACTAACTTGTCAATTCTAAACATGTTACAAGCATTACGAGTTCATAGTGATGTCAATTGGATCGATGAATTTCCTTATTGCCTCTTCCACCCTTAGATAAATTTATGATAATGTTCATTGATAATGTGCACGTCTACTCGAGTGATCCAAACAAACATGAAGCATACTCCCCATTGTTTTATAAACCCTTCAAGAACACCAATTGTCTGTAAAGTTTTTCAAGTATTCTTTTATAGCTTGATTGCATTTCCAGCTTGGAGTTGATGTAGATGAAATTTTTGTGAACCTACAGAAAATTATCACCATTGTTGATTGATCAAAGCCAAGAAACATGACAAAAGTGCGTAGCTTTCTAGAACTTGAGAAATATCCTCAACACTTCATGTCAGACTTTTCACAGAAGGTGACACCCTTAACTAACCCATAAGGCAACGAAGTTTGTATGAATTTGTATGAACAGAGAACTATTGAGAGAGCTTTCAGATGATAAAGAATTGTTTGGTACGGCACCAATACTAATAAGTTAATGTGAAAGATTACATCATGCAGTGATGTCATAGTACATAAATTATGATGTGTATCATACAGCAAGGCCAAGTGAATACACTTCCCAACAGCTCGAGCATCACAAAAAGAACTACCCATCCCAGGAATTTGAGCTAGCAACCACTGTCTTCCCCCTTAATATATAAAAATAATAATTATATCTTGTGCATGTGGAGCTCTTCACCAACCACAAGCACTTGAAGTACTTTTCTTATAAGTCGTTCAACTTTCACCAAAGGTTGATGAAGTTGCTAAGGGATTATTAAGTGGAAATTCAATATCATTCCATCAAAGCATATGTGGTGTCCAACTCCAACTTAAAGTAAACCTTTGCGTAGACCAACTATGACAATTATCACGACGATATGGTGGAAGTGAACGCTAAACATCCAAAAGACCGATGAACTAGTGGTTGAACAAATACGGCAAGTAGGCAACTAAAGCTTATAGAATTTCTTATTAACGACTAAAGACGAATCATCTTTCAAGGAAGAATTTAAGTAAAAATGCTAAAAGATGACATCATATAAAAAAGCCACCGATCAAAAAGTGCACCATGTATCCAACAGTTCAAAATATATACCAAGCCTTTTATAATGGTCAAAGCTAAAGAAAGATAGACATTGCAAACCGTGTCAAAAGGTTCCATACCAACAAAAAGGTGATAATAAAACATCTAAAACCAACTGAACTTTTGCAACCTTTAACAATAACATAATGGGCATGGAAAGTCATTGCCATGCTTCATTATGGGACCATCAAAGATGCCAAAAGGGGATAACTTCACTTTAGTCATTAGTGACTAACTTAAACAAGCATCCATTTCTATCGATCTACCAAAAGTTGATTGACAACAAATTAGCGTGAATTTATGAAAACACCATTGAATCATGTGAAGCACCAGAGACAGTACTATGAGACAGATACAAAAGGTATGCATCTAAACTATGAAGGCAAATTTAGGATCCTATTGGCACACCTCAAGACTGCTGCACCACATTTCATCCCCATATTAATAAATTATCATAATGAATCATCATATGTTAAAGGATTTTCTTAGAACGAGTGTCCGTAACTTCAAAAGCGACAAGGAATGTCATCTTTCTCTATGACAATGGGTACAGCAATTGTGCTTCTTAGGATCATGAAGGATGGAGAAAGTCAACAAAGTGCTTTTTAGTCACATATTTCCACATATAATAAGATTTTTATAGGTCAAGTCTTCACAAAAAAAAGCAACTAAAATAAATACCAAAGCCTTCACTTGCTATAGAACGAGATATTTCCTTAGTTCCAACTTCCTTGAAAAACAACATTTGTAATAAAAATGGCCCCTCAAGTAGTAAAATGTGGAAGAGCATCAACCCCCTGACAGTGGCGGAGCCAACACTTTTTTTCTTGTGGGGGCCCAAATTATAGATCTTTAGAATACCCTAAACCTTTTTCATCTGGTTTTGAAATCGACATTGGCAATTTAAAAAAAAATTATAAGATTTGTAATTAATAAAAATTTATAAATTACATAAAGAAAATCATCTCATCAGCTTCAATTTAACAGAGGCTTTGATGGAAGATTTAGTAGATAGTGGATTACAATAATTAGTTCTAAAAATTTCTAGAAAATAATAAAGAATGATTAAACAAACTAAAAATTTTATTCTTAAATGGAAAAAACTGAAATTTGCTCAATTGAACTCAAAGTGTATGAAAATTTTTCATTGAAAACATTAGAACTATTTAAACTCATATAACTTTATACCACTTAGATTTTTTCAATTTTAATCAATTTTTTTTCTAAGATCTATTCAAGAGGATATAAAATCATTATACAAAAAAAAAACCAGAAACAAACAAAACAAAGTCTTAAACCATAATATTGTGTTGGTTTTTATTCTAAATAAAAGTTGGTTTTTCCTCTAAAGTCTAAACCTGCAGAAAACTGATGCAGACCAGGAGACAAGGAAAGCCGAGTGAGGCAAGATTTGGGAGTGAAATAGTTGGTTGAGTTATATATATATATATAATATATATATATTATATATATTATATACAAAAAAAATTATAAAAAAGTAAAAAAATTCAATGAGCAAGTGGGGCCTGTGCCCCTAGCGCCCAACCCCCAGCTCCACTCTGCTCTGCCCCAGACCATTAGCTTCATGAATTTTAATCTTTTAAACATAAGATACATATAAAAATCATGTCATAAAAAAAAGTAAAGATTAAATTTACACCCAAAAAAATTGCTAACCGGATAACTAACCAATTCATAGTTGCTCTGTTTACTAATTCCAGTTGCATTCAAATCAGCATTTATCCTCAAACCATAAGCAAAGTCCTTTAATGGACCTACATTAATCAAGGAATCCCTAACTGCAAATGTGAAAGATTTCTGCATGAGAAGAAAGAAAACGTTAGAATTGGCCCCACACCACCCCCCCCCCCCCCAAAAAAAAAAAAACAGCAATCACATAACATAGATCTTCATAATGATGTTTCAAGCAATTCAAGACCAACTGCAGCAATGCCAACTACAACAATGGCCTAACAGACAAATAGCATTATTACTTTTTTATTCTGTTAGCTAGAAAAAAGAGACATATAGGTAGAATAAGAGTGGTATGAAAAAACAAAAAATTTAAATGAAACTAAGAAAAACCTTCGTGAGTAGGAGGATCATAAACTACATGCAAAAGCCAAGTAAGGTTTCAAAAACTACATTAATAAATGAAGAACTTTGAAATATCACAACCATGGAGAGAGCTTAACTACCAATGTATTGTTTTGATTCAAAGAGAATTATGCGCCTGCATCAAAAGTTTCAAGTTATGGCTTGCAAATGGCAACAAAATAACAAAATTAAAAATGAAAAATGAATTTCTAAAGTAGATTGAACATTTCATTCACACATACTGATTTATTAGGTCTACAAAAGGATCAAAATGTTAATAACAGAAACTGTGATTTAGCACCAAAGAGCAAATCAGATGATTCAAATTCATGTAGTAACCTGTGTTGATTCTGAGCTATTTGAAGTTGTAGAGAACAAAGAAAGCTCCTCGCCGCTAGTATAATCTTGCAGAGAATCTGAAGACATCCTTCTTAATTTTTTTGCAAGCGGGGCATCACTGTCAACATCGGCAGCCTGTTAAAGAAAGCAGAACAATGATGAAAAAATCATTAGGACGTTAAAAAGGTCACAAGGAGAAACTAATAAAATTGAGATTAAAAACAAACAAAAGAGCAATCAAGGAGCACTCGATTTAATACATTTATTATTATAATTTTAAAAGTAAGACTTGCAATTTCCATCCTTTCAAATAAATGTATAAAGATACTAATGGATCCCTCCTAGAAAACAACCCAATTCAGCCCATCAAAACCATAACCTCTTCCGTGCTATTATATCAATGTAAGATTGTATCAACTCCTAAAACCACACATTGGTGCAGAGCATTATGCAATGGATTTGCAAGGAATAATATAAGAAATTCTTGATCTTACGGTGTAAAATGCAGTGGATTTGCAAGGAATAATATAAGAAACTCTTGATCGTACGGTGTAAAATAAAATGGCAATGGCCAGGACTGACATCAGCCCTGCAAGTACTCCAACAGCATTCAGATGCGAGCTTGAGCGACGTCACTTCATACTTTTGCAGAAGTTCTCCAAAATTTAGATAATGCTGCAAACTCTAATCCAATTGAAACAAGAATATACTCCACACTAGGTGCAAACAGCACTTAAGACTCAAAGCTAAAAAAGTAAAGGAGATAGAATCCATGTTTCAACACTAATCTATAATGAAGTTTGACATGACTTTATTGCCTTAATCATTAAAAATAACAACGTTGAGATCATCAACGACCTACATATGGTATGATTCATCCAGATGTAGCCCCATGAGAACAATGCAAAGAGAATATGAGCTCAATGAAGATGGCAGAGCATTGAAACACATGCTCTCATCCCCAGCAGCTAAAAGTAGGAGTATATTGGGGGCAGCAATGCCTGGCGATCAGGTTGGAAGCAAAGTTGATGCAAAGTAATATCTTGCCATATTTATAATACTTCCGCTCTTCCTGTTTTAATGTGAATATAGCTAATTTGACCGCATTTTATCTACTTTACCGCAGTCCTGTGCAACCATCGCAAAAAAAATTTCTCACTCTTGTAGGGGAGAGCATCAAATGTACCATCATGGAAGCTGCAACTGTCGTTCTCCTAGCCAAAGTATTTGCTACCCCAATAGTTATACTGCTGTTGTGAGCACCATAACCTTCCTTACAGTGTACCCTCAGTCCCACTCCAGCCTAGCACCCATTTACCCACTACTGCTTACACTCATCATCTCCCACGCATATCAGTACAAGCCTTCAGCACTAACCAGACCATGAGAACACTATCCCAGCCTCCAGCTTATTTAAGGGGTAAGGATAGTGGTCTAATTTTGATGTAGGCAAGGAATGGGTCAAATCAAAATCAAAATTTAATGACCATTGGACTTCTAGTGATTCTTGGTTTGGGCCTTTTAGGTGCTTTGGTGTTGAGCTATTTTAAGTGTTAGCTCATTATTTTGAGCTCTTAGTTAGCTCATTATGAGCTGAAGTTTAGCTCATTTATTTCAAGGTTAGTGGAAGCTCATTATGATAGAACTTTTCCCTTCCCCTTCCCTATGCAACCTTCTCGGTTTGCTCCTTGCCCTTTCAGTTTTTTTTGGTTTGCTGCTTCAGATTCCTCCCCATGTAATGTTGTCTCCTCGGTTTGCATCCTAATGGCTGTCCCGTGGTCCCCCTTTCCCTGTGTTTGGCGTTGGCTCTTCAGGTCCCTGACTGGACTGCTTTCCCGTGGCATTTGGGGGCTGTTTCCATGGCTTTTGGTGCTCTGTTTTCAGTGCAATTTTGGGGGCTGCTGTTGGCCTTTCATCTCTCTCATTTTAAATAGAATATGAAGAGATTTTGGGGCTGTTTTTGGACAGAATTTGAACAGCTTTATGGGGGCTGATTTGGTGGCTGTTTGGGGGGAATTCCAAGAGTCTTTCCATTATTTTCTGTGCAGTTTTTCTGCTGAATTTTACTGTTTCTGGCCGGATTTTGGGACTCTTGGGCTGCTGTTTTGGACAGCTGGTTGGGCTGTTCATTGGTGGTCTCTTGACCTTCTAAAGTGTCTGTTTAGTTCCCCCTCTCTTTCCTATATATAGTAGATGTTTTGGGTTGATTTATATATGTTATATGATGTGATTTTTGGAAAGAAACCTGAGGGTTTGTTGTTTGGAAAAGCTTACGAGCTTTGTCCAACCTCTCTTCTTCTATCTCTTGGGGAGACTTGCGAGTTCTTCTCCACCCTTCGTCTTGGCTTCTAATCTCTTTCGTCTCTCCGCAAGTGTCATTCCATATGTATCCTTCTTCTCAAAGTGAAGCAACTTTAGGGTGTCGTCAAGTGATTGAGTCAAGTTTGTAAGTCGTTTTAATTTTAAAAGTTTGTAAGTCATTTTATTTTATTAAAGTAAAGTTGTTTTGGTTCAATTGTCGTATTTTGTATCCTTTTGGGTATTTTAGTGAGTTTCTTTTATATAGGAAGTGTTTCTTTTTTATTATCAAAAATTTGGGTCCCTCCCCAAATTTTTGATTGCATCAAATTTGATGGGGAATCGTAGTTGGGTGAGCTCAGTGGTTTCCATGAGAAGTTTCAGTTAGTAATGAAATACCAGGCATTTTCTTAGAAATGGTACATTATTGCATTTAAGATGCTTGTTTATTTGTCTGTAATTTTTTTTCAATAATGAAAGGATCTGTCTTGCAGCAAACTTGTAAACGCCACATAAGAAAATAAATTTACCGTTTTTTATAAACATGTCATGGACTGCAATGTAATTATTCAATGTATCCTTCTTCCATTTCCCATAAGCATCTTTAAGCAGTATATAATAGATCACTGTGGAATGTTTATTAAACTCTAAAGTTCAAAAAGGAGTCAAAGTTTACCACCACATTTTGCTTAAGGCCCGCATACTGAACTTTTCTTCAGTAGTGCCAAAAAAAGAAACACAATCATGCCACGTACTTCATGCACAAGAAAACAAGCGCAGTGCACAAGAAAACAAGCGCAGTTACACTGACTCTACAGTATTAACATCACTTTGCACTTTTCCAATGCAGAAGTTCTATTTACGTGAAACCAAAGACACCCATAACCTCCTTTCACAGTTAATACAGGTTTTCCTTGTTGCAAAAAATAATTATAAAGAGCAAAAGTTTTAATTCTTCAAACAATATGACCAATGAGTAAATTCAATGATATGGATTTGCAAGGGTTCGTACCTCTTCTTTAGCATGTACAGATGCTGATAACGAAGTTCCACTACTATATTGTACAAGAAGACTGTCTCCCAAACGGCTACCCAAGAAAAAAAATGAACACCCAACCGTTGTAATACCCTGGTCAAGAATAAGTCAGCAAATCTTTAAAAAAATACAAACATATAAAAACAGGAATAAACGAGGCAACAAAGTAATAGATTTGCCAAGAAGAAAAGATTTAGAAGCTAACCGAAGTCAGCACTGAAGCTTTAGATTTCATAAGATCAAGCCTTTGCACAACTCTGAAGAAGGAGAGCGAAATAATACGAGTATAAACAATTAAATAAAAAAAACTGACCTTAATGATTAAATTATGAAGATAAAACATAAAATAGATTCATAGTTAGTCACAAGAAGCTTAAATTTACAAGCTCCACGAAGTCAAAATATGGCAAAAATTATAACTAAAACGCCTAAAACACAAAAAAAAAGGAAAAACTCTCTCATCATGTCCAAATGTCAGAAGAAATGCAGGAAACGGTTCAGGGTGTGTTCGCATAGTGTTAATCCCATGAGACTCCATCAAGGTCTCAAACCATGGATGAGTTTGTAGTTATATCCTATTATGCCAACAAAACCTAAACATCATCAATAAACAAGAGCACATATTTTTTCCCAAAAAAAAAACCTACCTCCCATCATTTACCAACGTTAGCAGTAGTAGTTCTCCTGTTTTGGATGAAAACATAGCAACATCATGTGACAGCCATGTGGCATTTGCAGCATCAAGCTCCACAGTGAAATTTGATTTTGGCATGTCCAAGCTGAAATTCAATTAAAAACTGATTTTCTTGAAAGCGTGACCATAGGTCCACAACTGTCATGGACAAACACAAAGACCATCACACCAACTTCGATAAATTTAAAACATAAGTCAACTCAATTACATAAAAAATAAATAATATGAATTTTAAAAAATCATACTATTCACAAAATACAAGATCATGTTTTGATCCGTTACACTCATTAATTTCTTCCGCAAAAGCTCTAAAAAGTGAAAAAATAGATGTGGGATTATTGGATGCAGAAGATGTGAAATATCCAATTTAAAATAACATTGATTGCTTAGACATGTCAGCAAATTCCGATCAAAGAAAAAAAAATGAAATCATCTCCAATTATGGATGTGATGCAATTAACCATAAGTCATTAATTCACATGAACATGTTGATTGAGCACAAAGTCAAAAAAAAAAAAAACACCTAAAAGCAAATCAAACAACTGATCGTGGCATTGTACACCAAAGCATAAAAAAGGATAAATTCTTCAAAAAACGCAATTTAACCTCGTTCCCACAACAAACTTGAATAGCGAAACCAATAGTCTATGTTGCATACAAACCAAACAAATTGAATGGATGATTGACCCTCCAAATATGAAAAATATTACATTAGACTATCTGAAATCAAGTGAAAGAAACTAAGTTTTCAAGGAAAAAAAAATCTAAAATGCAGAAGATCAGTAAAGCAAATGGTGGAAGATAGGAAGTAATCAGAATAATATCATCCAAATGTAAAAAGACGGTATGGACATGATAAGAGGTAAAGAGATCAATACCAGCAGCAGTAGCGAAGATGGTAGATAGCAGAAGTTGGTAATAGAGAAGGGCCAGCAAACAGCACAAACAACATGCAAATAGGGTGGGGAAGAATGTGGTGATGAGAGGAACAGAAAAAAATAGGAACAGGAGGATTATTGCATAAGAAGGAAAAGAGGACAAACAAAAGTAGTTGTGTGGTCATAATTGATTGGTGTCCATTAAATATATGCATGGTTGAGCACTAACTATTATTACAAGTTGTTGTAATGTGACCAAAGAGTTTTTCAATTACAATAAAATTACATTAAGGATCATATTGAGCCCACATATTTTTTTAGTGGTCATGATTATGCTTATAATAATATTCATAATAAGGTGTCATGGTGTATATTTTTTGTAGATGACATAGAAATAATCAGTGAGACACGTTGATCCCATCTGACTAATGTATGTTAACACCATTAATTTGAAAATAGCAAACCTTGTGGGGTGTCATCTAATGGTTTGACTATTTGCTTACACTGTTACCATTCTACAACAAGCATGAAGATGATGATGACTTCACTGGGCTGACTTAAAAGATTGCTCAATTAGAAGACAAGATCAAGAGTTTAAGATCTGAAGACTTAAGTAAAGAATAAAGATCTTAAAGGTCAAGATAGCTTAGTGTGTTTGAGTTTATCATAATTCATTGTAGATCGTTAAAACTTTATTTATCATTTCTCCTAAAGAGATGAACACACTATTAAAATTTCAAAAAAAATATTTAAAAGTCACAAAATATTTTAATTAATTGTGTTTACAGGTGAATCAAGAATTATTTTATAAAATATTTAGAACCGCATTATGAGTACTTATTGCAAAATTTCGTGATGCAAGCAAACTAGAAAGTCAAGATAGGAGAACACTAGGACAATTGAAACCAAACTCGATTCAATCTAGAATGCAAACATCCAAACAAACAAAAAGTCGAACAAATGAAACAAAATTATAAAATAAAAACACTATCCTCATAACAACATTAGATCCTCCTTATTCTCTCTATACTTCTCCATCAAACCCCTCAATAAATGTATAGCTTTCATAGTAGACCTACCTTGCATGAATCCAATTTGATTTTGAGAAACATTAGTGTCACGCCACAACCTATGCTCCATAACTCTCCCATAGTTTTAAGGATTTTAAAAGGATTTTAATTGAATTTTTTTATTTTTTAATAATAATATCATTAGTAATATTGATACTAAAATTATAATAACTTTGATATCTAAAAAATGAATTCTTTGTATATTGACTCTCTTTCATGCATTATCAGCATTTGTGCATCACAAAATTCATATTGTCGCCTCGTGCGTGGGCAATTTTGCATTTTGAATTCGTACAACAATCTAGGCAATATGGGTGTCTTCACGTATAATTTTGATGTTCGAACACATCGGTGTAGTCCATTTTGAAAACATGTACATTCGACAAACATTCATGCCATGTCGCATCTATACTCATTCATTTTCATCATGCTTGATGCATGTGTGAGAGATCATTTTGGAATTTGGATAAATTTGATGATCTGAGCATGTAGCCACAATCTGTTACTTGAATAGGCAACATCCAGGTGACTTTACGCAACGTCATAGTGCCAGTTCTTGGTTTTCATCGTGTTTGATCAAATATATCATAGAAGTTTTTCAATGATTTCAATGCTGCAAACATGCAAGCGCAGTCTATTTTGCGAGCAATCACCGTTTGAGTTTTTCGATCGCAATCAAGATGTTTAAAACTCGTTTCATGCGACATTGTGTTAGTCGATTGGTGTTCTTGTCACACTTGTTCAAATTGATTTTGAAGCTCAATGTGGGCCAACAATTTTGAAACTACTAATTATAAAAATTGAGTCTATAAATTCAAGAAATCTTTATATGATCTGAAATAATCACCAGGAGCTTGGTTCGATCAATTCACTACAATTATTAAAAGGCGTGGACATTCTGATCACATTTTGTAAAGAAGCACCAACAAGTAAAATCACAATCTTATTAAATATATTGATGATATTATTTAAGAAAGCAATCGTGAAGAAATTAGTAAACTAAAAAGTGTCCAAGTTAAAAAAAAATCAAGGATATCAAGTTCTTGAAGTATTTCCTTGGTAGCAAGATCAAAGAAGTAGGGCTGCAAATGAACCGAGCGTTTGACGAGCTACTCGTGGTTCGGCTTGATAAGTGCTCATTTATGTTCGTTTAATAAGGTAAATGAACAAGCTTGAACAACTTTGACAGTACTCGATAGCTAAATAAACAAGCTTGAACACCCTGACGTTCGGCTCGTTTATGTTCACGAACAAGATTGTTTAGAGCTCGTGAACATGCTCGTTAAAAAACTCGATTAAAAAGCTCGATTATTTCTTATTTAATTAAAAAAAAATTAACTATTAACTAAAAAGAAATTTAACATTTATAAATAAGCTAGTTTATATTACTGTTTAACTAATAATATATTTAATATTATTTAACTATTATACCGTTATTTAATTAATAATATATTAAGATATAACTATTAATGCTCCGGCCCAAATATTCCGACTCAAAAAAAAAACTCCTCCCGCCCACACTCACATTTTTTTATAATCCCGATTCACACCTAATTATCTCTCTCTCTCTCTCTCTCTCTCTCTCTCTCTCTCTCTC